GGGCTTTGGAGTCCCTAAGGCATCTGGGGCACCTCAAGCTGGACCTTGGGGCTACTCAGTGAGGGGCAGTGGAGATCCACGGAGCTGACTTCAGATTCAGTTCTGCTACTAATAGCTGTGTGTTCCTGGGCAAATCGCCTAACATCTCTGAGCTTTATCTTCATCTGCAAAATGGGAGTAGAACACCCAGATTACTGGGCTGTCACTGGGTCAACAAGATAACTCAGAATGTAAATGTGGCACTGTGTTTCTAGCACTGGAAACGTCTGCCACACACATAGTAAATGCTTGTTAAATGAATGAAGGACTGACAGAGAGCCTGATAAATATCAGAGTCCTCCATGCTGCAGATGTCAGATGCAGTTATTTCCAGAAGCACTGAGAAAGAAAAATTGTTCAAATGTCGCCAGTGAAGCCATGGCCCATTGCTTTCCTATCACCTGGAAATTTTGCTTTATACTTACTGAAGATCTCTTTAGCTTATTAGGACATAGTTTTTTGGGTTCTTTTTGTTTTTGCTTTTTTAAAAATCACAGATCACCGTTGAGTTTACATCAAAGAGGAAACTTTCAGGGAACTCAATCGCGGTGGAGGTGGAGGTGTTCTTAAGGCCTTTAAGGTCAGAGTCACCTCTCTGGCTGGGCCCCCTCTAAGCTGCTCCTTCTCTGTGAATTCCTGTGCCTCGCTGAAGGATGCTCCAACCTCCCTGCATCCCCCCCCCCAAGGCTTCCTGACTTTCCCCATCCAGAGCTGGATCCTGAGAGGCTAGGGGCCACCATTGTCCTCTGGAATAGCCCCCTCAGCAGCACACCTGCAGGGGCAGGGGAGGCCACATGGAGCAGTCCCAGAACCCACAGCAGCCAGGACCCCTCACTCCTGGATTCCAGAAACGGGAAGATGTTGTCCTAAAGTCGATGAGATGCAGTAACATCACTGTGTAAGGACTAAGTCCTACAGGACTTTTGAAGCAACGGAAGCCAGGGAGGGCTCAGGATGGAAGGGTCTGTCCTGCAGGGAAATCTTCGTAGCCTTCCTAGGGATGAGGGAGGCCCAGCGGCACTGCCGGAAGTTAGGGGTGGCCAGGGACCAGATGTGAAGTGCAGAGCTTCACCCAGAGCCAAGGAGACATAGTGCCTGCTGGCCCTGGGCATGGTCACCTGTCTGCCCTGTCCCACTCACCAGGACTGAGGCTCCCAGCTCCATCACCTCCCTGAAGTGAGGCTGGGAAAGTGGTATTGGAGAAATTTCCTTCAACTGCCGGATATGGACCTCAGGCTGAGCTGGGCTGTGAACCCCGGACCTGGCAAGCCTTGGGGGCAGAGGGACAGAGGCTCGGCATCAGCTGGTCCCCTCTGGACACGCCCGAGGTGGGATCAGGAGCGTCTCTCAGGTTCCTTCTTCCGCACTGTCACCTCTGGGGCAGGGGCTCCCTGGCGCGTGGAAACGAAATTAGGCGACAAGGCCACCCAAAACGGAGGAGGTGGCTGGTTTCTACTTGGACCCTGGAGCTCCGAGGGAGATGGTCGAGCGGGCGGCGTGGGGGGGGCGGTGCTCACTCCAGAATGAGAGGCCAGCATTTGGGCCACGCCCAGCGGGCCCCATCCAGGCCTCGCCATCCTAGCGCGCACGGTGAGAGAGGAACATCCGCTCCAGGAGGCGCAAACCTCCAACGCCGTTGCGGTCAACGTGGCCCAGGTCGGCGTTTCTTTTTCCCCTCTTTGTAAGTTCCCACCAGTGACCCTCCAGGAAACCCAAAGCCGGGAAAAGGAGCAAGCCAGAGGAACCGTTTTATATATAGAAGTGGGGAGCCAGGAGGAGGGACGGGGGCCTGTAGCCGTCCCGGCGGTGCCGCCTCTGCGCAGCCCGCGGCGCGTGGGTTCGCGGGGCAGCCGCGCGGGGCCTCGTCTCCCCAGACGTCCCTGCGTGCCGGGCCCGGCCGAGCGCCGCCCAACGCTCCCTCCCACCCGCCGGGAGAAAGACGTGCGCAGGGCCAGGATCACACACGTCGGGGTGCGACGCATCATCGCCGCCCCTTCCCGAGACTTCCTACTGCCACGCCGCCTTGAACACGCAGCCCGAGCACTCCCGCCGCCCTCGGCCCTTC